AGGGTCTTTAGGACCCATATCACGTGCTTAATACCTCCAACCCCATGAGCCTGCCTTACCGTGCAGAGAGCAGAGGATGCTCATGGGTTCAGCATCTCCCCTTCCAGGTTTTAACTGGCACAGCCCACTCCAGAGGAACCTGCTTCCCCGCGTCCTTTGTAGAGCTATGGTGTGTGACTAGGTGGGGAGGCAAGCAGCAGCTTATGTGTGACTTTCCAGCAGTGTTAAGGACACGACCTGCTGTCCTGGTTGGAGCTTAAGGTGTCATCTGGGACTATGTGTTAAAGATGTGTGTGGTGGGGGGCATGGGAAGATACCAGTCATGATCCCTGCTGATCATAAGGCCACAGTACCTAGATCTTGGTTATTCCTCCTCCCCCTACAAAAGAAAAAAAGCAAGCAGGGCTCAGGCGGTGGGGGAGACAGAGGGAGCCAACTTCTCTTAAGTCAGTAGATTGTATCATTAGGCCAAATGCCAGGCACGACCCATTTTATAGAAGAGCAAACAGACTCACGTGACATCCCTCTAGCTGAACGAGGCAGGGATTTCCCATCTTCAACTGCATTAGCTTATAACTAAAAAAAAAGGTGGCTACTCAGAGTAGAAGGATGGTTGCCAGGAGTTGGGGGAAATGGGGAGATGTTGATCAAAGGGCGCAATCTTTGTCATGACATGAACAAATTTTGGGTTGTAAGGCACAGCATGGGTTGTGGTGGCTGTGTTGATCTGTGGTAGTCATTACACAATGCTTAGGTATTTCCAATCAACACATTATAGACACTGAATATACACAGTCTTTGTCAGTTAAATATTTAAAAGAGGCAGCTTTTGGCCAGGCGCGGTGGCTCATGCCTATAATCCCAGCACTTTGGGAGGCCGAGGCAGGTGGATCACGACGTCAGGAGATCGAGACCAGCCTGGCCAACATAGTGAAACCTCGTCTCTACTAAAAATACAAAAAATTAGCAGGTCATGGTGGCAGGCATATGTAATTCCAGCTACTCAGGAGGCTGAGGTAGGAGAATTGCTTGAACCCAGGAGGCGGAGGTTGCCGTAAGCCGAGATCGCACCATTGGACTCCAGCCTGGGTGACAAGCGTGAAACTCCATCTCAAGGGAAAAAAAAAAGACTTCTAGGAAGTCACCACCCTAACCCAATTTATCACTGGGTCAAATTGTTATGTTTTAGGAAGTTTCTTCTCCTTATCCTTCAGTTTCTGCATTTAAACGGGGACAGGGGCTAGGTGGGGTGGGAGAGGCCATGGCCTCAGGCACACATTTAAGGTGGTATCCCAGATCTCAACTGATAAATACCATAATGCAACTTTTTAAAAACCAAAATGAATGCAAAAGAAACCTACAATGAACAGGATGTCAGAACTCTAATCACGGGATCCAACTCTGCTTGCACAGCCCTGACTTGCCCTAATCCCAGGCCAACTTTCCACAAAACTACGAAAACAAAGCAGACGACCTGTGAGGCCACCATTTGCCAATCGGCATTAAAATATTTTTTGGCGACTGAGTTCTCAGCACTCCCTTAAGTCTCATGTCCCAGGCGAGTGCCTCACCCTACAGAAAAACACCTGTAGACAGTTAAAGTTCTTACTGCAGTGCCTGGCTGAGTCATGATGGCAACCTGAATTGAGGCTCATCTGCTTTCTTAGAAGAGGTTAAATACAGGGAGACAAATAAGCTATTTGTGCTCTGTAGTGTCTAGAAGGCAGCAAGAAACCTTAAGCAGAGGGGCAGGAGATCGCCTTGATTTCTGCTCTTCAGTGGGGATTTTACAAGCTGATCTGAGTAAAAATCAAAAGGATCCAGTTTTCCCCAATACCTGACGGGAAACTCATCTGTCTGTGGCATGAAGCAACACCTTCCTTAAAGTGGCCCCATGAAATTTTTTTAAAGATGGAGTCGTATTGCTACCCAGGCTGGACTTGAACCCTTGGGCTCAAATAGTTCTTCCCAGCTCAGTCTCTCAAGTAGCTGGGACCATAGACACTCATTACTGATGCTGGCACAATTTCATGTTAACATTTCTCCCTTGCCTTTTATCCAAGGCCAACCATCCTGTTGCTTGTACTCAGGGGTTAACAAACTGGCCTTCCAAATCATGTCCTTTTTATAAATAAAGTTTTATTGGCCCACAGCCAAACCTATTTCCTTCCCTATTCTCTGTAGCTGCATTACAGTGGCTGAGTTGGAGCCTCTGTGCTATAACAGGAGGGGCAACAGAGCTGATGACAAGTAGGACCAGCAAAGCTCAAAACATTTACTATGGCCGGGCGCGGTGGCTCAAGCCTGTAATCCCAGTACTTTGGGAGGCCGAGACGGGTGGATCACGAGGTCAAGAGATCGAGACCATCCTGGCTAACATGGTGAAACCCCGTCTCTACTAAAAAATACAATAAAAAAACAAAACTAGCTGGGCGAGCTGGCGGGCACCTGTAGTCCCAGCTACTCAGGAGGCTGAGGCAGGAGAATGGCATAAACCCAGGAGTCGGAGCTTGCAGTGAGCTGAGATCCGGTCACTGCACTTCAGCCTGGGCCACAGAGCGAGACTCTGTCTAAAAAAAACAAAACAAACAAACAAAAAAAAACCTCATTTACTATCTGGCCCTTAACTGGAAAAGTTTGTGGATCCCCGGGGCTCAGGTGAAGTCAAACTGCAAACACTCTGTTTCCTCTTCCAGATCCAGAGGGCTCTGCAAATGGAGGCTGGTATAAGAATTGCCATTCTGGTCTGTGCCATGTTAGCTGCTTCTTTCTATTAAGGCTATTTGGTCATTACCTGTACATGTTAAGTCTCATTCTAGCAGGTTTAGCCAGTTCAGCCCCCACTTCTGAATGATTTAACTCCACTCACTGCCCCCTTCTAATTTCCTAGAAACGGTAAGGTAAGACCACTCCTACTCCTAGAAGTTTCCTGGTCCTAGACTTCCCTCTGAGCCTATTTTTCTGAATGTTGGAATTCTTACCAGTCTCAAAAATTCTTTTCAATTTCCCCAAGTTTTTTATAATACTCATTCAGCCTTATTCTCTTGAACTACACTCTCAGCTTTGTGCAAATCCATTTGTGTCTCTGCCAGAAAATTTGGTATCTTTTAACGTGTTTTACAAGTCACACTTGCCAGTTCAGAGCACAGTCCTCTGCAGGAGAGTTTGCTGTATTCTAGGACCATGGACCACATTGAGCCTGCCACCTGTTTTTGTAAAGTTTTATTGGAACACAGACACATTGGTTTTTTCTTGCAATCTATGGTTGCTTTTGCACTAAAACCACAGAGCTGAGTAGTTGCAAAAAACTTTATGGCCCCCTCACTGCCTGAAGTATTTAATACTGGGTTCATAGCTTTTTACTCACCTCTGCTTTACTGGGAATCCAAGTTTGCTGGGTGATACCAGCTTAGATATAAAACCCTTAAAGTCCATACAGCTGTTAATAACAACAACAAAAAAGCCTTCTAAAAAGACTGATATCTTTCCTCTTTATCTAAAGAGCTACAAGAAGTATAAGGAACATTTATGTGATTTCAATCTATGGGTTCCCACTTGAAATGTCAACAACCTTCTAGAACAGAAATGCAGATCAGACTCAACGACAAACAGCAGAAAGGTAACAATAGCAACTGTACAATCGCGCCAGCATTCAGTAATCACTTTTCTGATCAAAACCATTATCTCCAAAGAGACTAATTCTATCCTGGGTCTCTTTTCTTCTTACAATAGAGATTCAGCAGTACACCATCACCCTGATGGAAAACTTCAACGGAATCAGATTTACCTAAACTACCACTATTAACAAACTAGGTACCTCTATTTCACGAGTGAAATAGTCCCTTCCATACAATCTATAAAATTTTACATCCTTTTTTCCTAGTTTACCAAGAACAATGGATCCACTTAATCTGTTTCAATTCCAGAGATATTCAACTTGATGAGGGCACACAAGAATTTATATTAAAAAAGAGTATTTGGAGGAAAGATGCCAAAAGTAGAAACCAAGCAACTTTGGATAAGTATTATATCCACTGAGATTTCATAACCTCCTAAGGATCCATCTATGAGAAGAGGTTGGATTTTCAGTAGTTTGTCAGTTCAGCAAACACTAAATGCTTTCGGTGATGAAACAGATGCTGGTGTGAGGCTGTCCCACGTATCACATATCCCAGCACCAAGCTCAGGGCCCACTGGGCCCCTGGACTTCTCTCTCCAAATAGAAGTAAACAGAATTTTGAATTCCACAACAGACAAGCACAGGCTGGGCTAGTTAGCTTGATCTTTGGCGCCACCTCCAGATCAAACTGCATTTCGTTTTACTACAGTAGGAACTCATTGAGAAATTCAAGGTGCATTTATGATTAAGTTACTGAATGGGGTGGGGGCTGGGGATGGAGAACCTCCTACCATAACTGTCTGTGGAGGACTACAAAATTGAGTATTCCTTACATCATGCTACCACGAGTCTGCCTTTTTTATTGTAAGACAACAGGTAAAAGAAACCACACAAACGTAAGGCAAATACTTAGAACGATCACCCAGGTTATGAAACAGACGTTTTCCAGCAACCCCAGACCCTTCATGTACACCTTCCTCACCTTAACCCTTCCCACTATAGAGATTAGTTTTAGTTTTCTATATCGTCTAACTAGTGTAATAATTCCATCAGAGATGGATCAGTTTTAAAATTGGAATTCATTACGTAGAAGCTATCCCCATGGGATAGAGCAGGGCTCGGCGGACCCCTCCTTTGAATGACCAAGTCGACTTGCTCAGATAATCCTTGGAGGGAAGGGACAAATGTGAGAAGTGTCTCCACAGCACTGTTTTGCTTTCATCACTGTCGCCCCAGCCATCGCCTCTGGAGGCCTGTGAAGTTGGAGCGGCCAGCCCCGCAAGGGGTGCCCAAAACCTGTCTCACTGGCTTCACACCTTTGGAGGGCTGGGCAACAGCACCGCTCAGAAGTTCCGACAGCTGACGACCCCCTTCGGCTGAGCTAGAGGTCTTGGCTGGGCTCTAGGGGAGCCTGGAGCTGCCCTGACGCACCGCTTTCCGGTGGGAAGGTGACCAAGTCTGAGTTCTTGTTCTCGCTCTGGTCACTGTGCTGCTTCTTGTGGCATCTCAGCGAGTCATCCCTGACGAAGGAGGCGCCGCAGGTCTCACAGCGGAAGGCCCTCTGCGTCACGATCTTGGCCACATGTTGAGAGCTGCTCTCTCTGAGCCCTTCCTTGCCCAGAGGGGCCCAGTTCTCCGTCTTGGCCTCGTCCCTGTGCACCTTGTCGATGTGCTTGGCCAGGCTGCTGGGCCGCTTCGTGTCGAAGCTGCAGAAGTCACACTTGAAGGGACGGTCCTTACAGTGGACTCTGCTGTGCACGCGCAGCGCGGCCGCGCTGGAGCAGGAGTAGCTGCACTCTGGGCACTTCTCCGGGTGGTCGGCCTGGTGCAGCCGGCTGTGCTCCAGGAGGTCAGCGCGGTCCCGGCCCTGGAAGGCACAGTGCAGACACTTGAAGGTGTGCTTGATGCGGATGTGCGATTTGAGATTCGCCTTCATGGTGCAGCGGACGTCGCAGAACTCGCACTTGAAAGGCTTCTCCCCCGAGTGCACGATCATGTGCCTTTTCAAGTCCGAGCTGATTTTGAACTTGGCGCTACAGAGCCAGCACTGGAAGGGGGTATCCCCTAGCAATGGAAGGTGTGTTTCCATTAGAATAGGCAGGCAAAACAGACCCTCCCACCCCAACCTGCCTCAGCACACTTGGCCGCAGTGAGATGGTTGAGTTTTGTGAACTCTACCCACAACCTCCTAAGGACAACACTTGTTGTGCATATTAATGCAATCTTCACTACAATCCTATGAGTGGGTACTGTTACTCCCACTTTACAGATGGGGCAACTGAGGCTCACAGAGGTCAAGTTACTTCACTTAGGTCAAACAGCAGGGATTTGGAACCCAGGCACTATGGCACTCAAGTTCATATTCTTGATGACCCCTTCAGTTTCAAATCTAAACTCCCATTTAACTTGACATCCCGGAATTGAATGTGCAAGAAGAGGTGAGATTTAAATTACAAACAACTGCTTCAAATCAAGCTAAGACCTGTGAAGATGCTTACTATAGTGTTTAATCTATATGACATCAGTTATTGAGCTTGTATTTCAAGTGAAAGCTTCTTACTTTTATAACTACAGGCTGAATTTTATTTATAATATTAATGCATAATTATGGCAGCAGGGGACAAATAATAAAGAGCCATGGTCTACTCTCTAATTTAGAGTCCCATTCCCTGGAGACATTGCTAAGGGTTTCTAGTTGTTTTGAAGGTTGTTGCTTTAAACATCAGTTGAATATACACAAAGATAAGCATCTTATCCTACACACCCATCCTTTCCCTAACCTCTCCCTGCATTCTGGTGGTTGTGACTTTTACACTTTTTTTTTGTTTTTGAGACAGTCTTGCTCTGTTGCCCAGGCTGGAGTGCAGTGGTGTGATCTTGGCTCACTGCAAGCTCCACCTCCCGGGTTCACGTCATTCTCCTGCCTCAGCCTCCGGAGTAGCTGGGACTACAGGCGCCCGCCACCACACCCGGATAACTTTTTGTACTTTTTTAGTAGAGGCGGGGTTTCACCATGTTAGCCAGGATGGTCTCGATCTGCTGACCTCGTGATCTGCCTGCCTCGGCCTCCCAAAGCGCCAGGATTACAGGCGCCTGCCAGCACACCCAGCTAATTTTTTTGTATTTTTAGTAGAGATGGGATTTCACCATGTTAGCCAGGATGGTCTCGATCTCCTGACCTCGTGATCCACCCACCTCAGCCTCCCAAAGTGCTGGGATTACAGGCGTGAGCCATTGCGCCCGGCCGACTTTTGCGCTTTTAAGCTGAGTAGTAGCCTCACATCTTAGTCCGTCAGCTTGAGATTTTTTGAGGATTCACTCCTCTTCTCCACACTTAACTCCTCACTTGTTAGAAGCAGCTTTCTTTTCACCTTTAAGTAAAAAAAATTTCCATTCTGTCTGGTGAATTCTCATACTTTAATCATTTTCAGATTTCAAGTTCAGAAGCCAATTATAAATAATTTAAATGGTGACTAGGAAAGTGATATTCATCGGAGCCAAACACTGTACCAGGATTACAATCACTTCCTTCTAAGTCTGCTGTCACACTCGGGCCAGTGGATGGGGTAACCCATCAATATAATTTTGTTTGCTTCTCTTACATGCTGCTCATTTGGGGGCACATTTTAGCTTGCTTCTTGATTAGATTGTATTTCTTGAAAAAAGGCATCTCAATTTCAGAAGTCATCCACTCTCATAATTTTGTAACTTTCACAAGGAATTTTTTTAATGGATTTTTAAAGCTTCTGATTTAGTTTCTCTTGACCTTCTATACAAGTATCAGCCTGATATTTCTCTTTGCTGCAATCCCAGTTAGCCATATTCAGGTATTCACATATCAAATATCTCATGCCAGATGTTTTCTCCCTTCCTTTGCTAGAGTTTATCTTCTAGTTGGGAGTAAAGTCTTGAGTCCTTGCACATCATTCTATTTTGCTCTCATACTTGAGGTAATTTGGCTGGGTATAGAATTCTAAGTTCAAAATCATTTCCCAACTCTTGAGGGCACTGTTCCATTGTCTCCTAGAAGCCAATACTACTCCAGACATATTTCTAGATACAGATGTCCCCTGTCCACTCCCTTCCATCCTGATTGGAATCTTGTGAGCACTTTTACTCTCCTGGCCCCTTAGAATTACGGACTTTATTTCTTATTTGATTTTCTATTTTCACTCTATTTTCTTCTCACTTCCATTTTCTTTTCTTCCTAGACCTGGTCAGAAACCAGACTTCAGGACTGACTCTTATTCTCAGTTCACTCACTCAATTTTCCCCCCTAATCTCTGGGAAATTAATTTTGTAGCTAGCAATCCTAGTTTTATTTCATACCTCTTTGTTCTCATTATCTCTTCATAGGTCTCTATTTGGATGCAACATTTCTGCCAGTGGGTAGACACCAATTAGAATGTGAAAATTACCCAAGTACTCTTACTTCCAGGATTAGTTATTGACTTGGCTCATTTTATTCCGTTCATTTCCTATAAATGACTTATGATCCTTGGTTGACTATATTTGGGAAGGTAGACTGGTTTAATGATTAGACATGGATGCCAGAGGTTTCACCTGCTACTGGGTTAGTTGGGCAGTTTTGCCAGGCCTTGGCTAGTCTCCCCAGCTTTGTGGCCCTGGCTGTCTACATGCTTGTTCCAAGCTCAGAGCCCTCAGGGCACTTGGATATTGGCTGGAACATTGGCTCCCAACTGTATGGCTGCCTCCCATTTGTCTGCTGGGACACAGCTTTCTATACTCAATTTTAAACATCACTATGTTCCTGTCTGCTCATCATTTTCCAGGAATTCACTGAAAATTTTCAACTTATGAGCATCCTTATGAATATCTCAAACCCCATTTTTCCATGCCACAATGAGTTGGTCCTATCACTTCAGTAGGCTCCCATAAAGAAAGGAAGGAAGTTCCTAAGGTTAAAAGTTTGTGATTTTTAATTATACTTAATGGATCTTGCTACATTCCCAATTAAGCCATGCAATCAGTGTGTACATTTACTGAAACATCTAGTTTATAGGTCTGACTGGAGATACATCCTTACCTTCTTGGCAGTTATAGTGGGTATCCACCCCAGCTAGATTCCATGTAGTCAAGATATAAAACCCAGCTGTCAGTCATATTTTACCAAAAGCTGTTGTTTCAGCAACAGAAAAATGACAAACCTCACAATTATCATAGAAGTTCCAAATTCTTGTACTTCTACCACACCAAGTCATTTAAGTTGCTTGTGTTAAGTAAATGAAGGTTAAGAAATTAGAGAAAAAGTAAGGGACTGAGGTTTCCTGGTCAGGGACTCACCCGTGTGGGATCGCAGGTGGACGGTGAGCTGGCTGGAGTTGCGGCTGGCATAGGGGCAGAGCTGGCATTTGTACGGCCGCTCGTCAGAGTGGATCCGCAGGTGCTTCTTGAGGCTACTGCTGTCCACGGCAGCATAGTCACACAGGTGACACTTGTGTGGCTTCACACTGGTGTGGCACCGCATGTGCATGGTCAGGTTGTCCTTCCGGCTGAAGCACTTGTCACAAAACTCACACTTGTGCGGTTTGTCTCCTTCAAACACATAAGGAGTCAAAGTTAAGGGTTTTTTGGTCAAGATGGCTACAGAGATTTGACCAAGATGGTAGCCTGGACATATGGGTGTGCTGCCTCCTCCTGTCCAAATACCGAGAGAGGAAGATACTGAAGTCTACATCAGCATATTGGGAAACAAGAATGTGTATCATTCATTGATAGCTCAGAAATCCTAAGGGACAGATGACATAAAAAATCAGATTGATGGAGAAAATTATACGCCAAACCCCGCTTGGGAAAAATGGCAGTTGTTATACAAGTACTCAGGATAAGAAGTGGCAGCTGTAGGGATCTTGGACAGCTTCATGAACCACATGGAGAAGGATCAGACGGACTCCTTCCTCTCACTTCTTCCAAACAGCAAGCAGCACGCCATCTCCCCCTAGGCTGTTGGTCAAAGGACGCTGAGGTCAGAAAAAGAATCCAAGGGCCTGGTAGTTAGAGATGCCAGGGATAGCAGAAGATCACATACCCAGACCATTTCCATCCAGCCATGTTTCATCACTACCCCCAAGCCCAACCATTCCAGGCTGATATCTAAATAAAAGTTAGTTTACCCAATAAACAAATGCTTGGGGAAAGCCAGAACCAGAAAGACACGCCCAAGTCAAGAACTTAGTTACTAAAGCAAAGGGAAGAAATGAAATTAGCAAAATGAAAACTATGGACATCAAAATAAAAGTTCTAATAAGTTGACTAGCAAAAAGGGTGTTGAATGACAGCTATTGGTGGACATATGTCATCATACATTTGTCCACACCCACAAATGCACAACAGCAAGAGTGCAACTTGGCCAGGTGCGGTGGCTCACACCTGTAATTCCAGTGCTTTGGGGGGCTGAGGTGGGTGGATCGCTTGAGCCCAGGAGTTCGAGACCAGCCTGGGCAACATGGCAAAACCCTGTCTCTACACAAAATATACAAAATATTAGCTGGGTGTGGTGGTGCATGCCTGTAGTTCCAGTTACTTGGGAGGCAGAGGTGGGACGATCACCTGAGCCCAGGAGGTTGAGGTTGTGAGCGGAGATCATGCCACTGAACTCCAGCCTGGGTGACAGAGCAAGACACTGTCTCAAAAAAAAATGGACCCTACTGTAAACTATGGTCTTTGGTTGAGAATGTTGTGAATGTTGTGTCAGTGCAGGTTCATCTATTGTAAAGATGCACGACTCAATGTAATGTTGGAAGGCTGTGCATATGGAGAAGCAAGGGGCATATGGGAAATATCTATCTTCTGGTCTTTAGGTTCACTTTTGCTGTGAACCTAAAACCGCTCTTATAAAATAACAGAACAAAAACAAAAAACCACCTATTAAGAAAAATCTTAGAAATGGAAGACACAGTTAAAGAATCTCCCAGAAGGACAAGAGGAAAAAGATGCCAAAAGCTAAGACATGAAAACCCATTCTAGGTGGTCCAGGACAGAACAGAGAAGAATTATTTCCCAACACTAAAGACAGCCATGTATCTTATTTAGAAGCAGGGTGGTCCAATTTCAGAACCCTAAGAATGGTGAGATCTGGAAGCTTCCAGAAAGAAGACCACCAGCAAAATGCTCATATCAGCATAAAGCTCCTCAGAACAGTGGATGCCGGCAAGATAGGAACAGGATCTTCAACTTTCTATAGAAACTGTTTTAATAGATTCTTATACTTGAATTAGCATTCAGTGAGAGGAGAAGATAGTTGATATATGACTTGGTATCACACTTAAACAGTGTACACCAGAATAAAAGATAAGGGTGATGGTGAAGGTAAGATGGGAATATGAGAAAATAGTACAATGGAAAAAGTATAGCTTTCAGACAAGAGAAAAACAACTATCAAAAGACGGTTGGGGCGACTGGGCACGGTGGCTCACGCCTGTAATCCCAGCACTTTGGGAAGCCGAGGTCGGGGGATTACCTGAGGTCAGGAGTTCGAGACCAGCCTGGCCAACATGGTGAAACGTCTCTACTGAAAATACAAAAATTAGCTGGGCATGGTGGTGTGCACCTGTAATCCCAGCTACTAGGGAGGCTGAGGCAGGAGAATGGCTTGAACCCAGGAGGAGGAGGTTGCAGTGAGCCGAGATCACGCCACTGCACTCCAGGCTGGGTGACAGAGGGAGACTCCATCTCAAAAAAAAAGAAAAGAAAAGAAAAAAAAAAAAAGACTTGGTTGGGCACAATGGCTCACATCTGTAATCCCAACACTTGAGTCCAGAAGTTCTAGACCAGCCTGGGCAACATAGTGAGACCCTATCTCTACCAAAAAAAAAAAGGATTAGCTAGGTGTGGTAGTATACCCTTGTAGTCCCAGCTACTTGGGAGGCTCAGGTGGGAGGATCACTTGAGCCCAGGAGGTGAGCTCTGATCATACCACTGCACTCTAGCCTAGGTGGCAGAACAAGAACTTGTCTCAATGAAACAAAAAAACCAAACAGCATAAAATAAAAACCACATCAAATATCAGATAAGTAGATGTCAAACTAAATATTATAAACAAAAACGTATTACATTTCCCTCTTAAAGATCTAAATTATAGGTCAGATGTTGTGGCTCACACCAGTAATCCCAGCACATTGGGAGGCCGAGGCAGGAGGATTGCTTGAGGCCAGAAGGTTGAGACCAGCCTGGGCAACACAGGGAGAGCTCATCTCTAATAAGTTTAAAAATATATTTAAGTTAAATTAAGAAAAAAAGCCACTAAATGCTCTGAAGATACGTAAATCAAAGTGATAGGAACAGAATAAGAAATTCTAGAAAAATACTTTTAAAAAGTAGGAATATCAATTTTAGCATCAGGCAAAATAGAAATCATGGTGAAATTCATTAAAAACTTCATATGGATGCGAGAGTTCAGTATGTAGATATAAGTCAAACTTTTATGAGTATAACATGGCTTCACAAATGACATTTTCAAAAATGTCAGCTTGGAAGTTTTAGAATGTCTTTTAGGACGGTTTTTGTCAAAATTAGATTACAAACTCTAGACACAGATAAGAGCTTCCTATTTCAAAACCTATAGCCGTGGCTGGGCTCGGTGGCTCACGCCTATAATCCCAGCACTTTGGGAAGCTGAGGCGGGCAGATCACCTGAGCTTGGGAGTTCGAGACCAGCCTGGCCAACATGGAGAAACCCCGTCTCTACTAAAAATACAAAAAAATTAGCTGGACGTGGTGGCAACACGCCTGTAATCCCAGCGACTTTGGAGGCTGAGGCAGGAAAATCGCTTGAACCCAGGAGATGGAGGTTGCGGTGAGCCGAGATTGCGCCATTGCACTCCAGCCTGGGCAACAAGAGTGAAACTCTGTCTCAAAACAAAACAAAACACAAAACGAAAAAAGCCTATAGCCTATAATGGCTTTAAAGAAGTTTGTAGACTTAAGTTCATTTTTAACCAAATGCTGAAATCAAGTGCACAGTATGCAATTCAAGAAACCAAAAGACAGAATTGAGGCTACGTACAGCACTTGATCAATAAAGGTAAAAATGGTGCTAAAGAAGGAAGGCTTAGCTCAAAAAGAGAGGATACCAACAGACCAGGGTTCTTAATCTCAACAGTACTGGCAATTCTTTGATGCTTGGTGCTTTCCTCTGCGTTGTAAGATGTTTAGCGGCATCCCTGGCCTCCACCCACCAGATGCCAGTAGAACCCTTCCTTCCCCAGTTGTGACAACCAAAGATGTCTCCAGACATTGTTCCCCTGGGGGGCAAAATTGTACCTAGTTGAAAACCATTCCAACGGACTTTGGAAAAGCAGAAGGGGACTACGGATACACAAAGTCAATCGTGACTATTAAGCAGAACTTTACCCCAATAAATTTAGAAGACTGGATAAGATGGGTGATGGTCCAGGAAGATGTAAAATTACAAAGTCTAGATTAAAAGATCGAAAACAAGGCCGGGCGCGGTAGCTCTCACCTGTAATCCCAGCACTTTGGGAGGCCGAGTGGATAGATCACGAGGTCAGGAGTTCGAGACCAGCCTGACCAAGATGGTGAAACCCCGTCTCTACTAAAAATACAAAAATTAGCCGGGCGTGGTGGTACGTGCCTGTAATCCCAGCTACTCAGGAGGCTGAGGCAGGAGAATCGCTTGCACCTGACAGACGGAGGTTGCAGTGAGTGAGATCGCGCCACTGCACTCCAGCCTGGGTGACAGAGCAAGACTCTGTCCCAAAAAAAAAAAAAAAAAATAAAAAACAGGCTGGGTGTGGAGGCTCACACCTGTAATCCCAACACTTCGGGAGGCTGAGGCAGGCAGATCGGCCTTGAGGTCAGGAGTTCGAGACCTGCCTGGCCAACATGGTGAAACAGTATCTCCACTGTAAAAATACAAAAATTAACCAGGCATGGTGGTGCATGGCTGTAATCCCAGCTACTCACGAGGCTGAGGCACAAGAATCACTTGAACGTGGGAGACAGAGGCTGCAGTGAGCCAAGACTGCACCACTGTACTCCAGCCTCGGTAAGAGGAAGACTGTCTCTCAAAAACAAAACAAAACAACCCGAAATGAAACAGATCGGTGACAATGAAGAATTATGTTAAAGATCTACTCTCCAAGGTGAATTGTTTATTGTTCGCAAGTATGTGCTGTAACTTCTGTGGAGAATTATGCTTCGCTGTCCCAGCAGCCTCTCTGGTTTGGGCATGACACACTCTGGCTAATGAAATATGACAGAAAGTGACAAGAATTGTTGTCAAGGGCCACTATGTGGTTCCTCACACTTGTTTCTCTTGCCCAAGATACACTGCAGTGTTCCAAATCAGGAGATTTAACAAATTGTTTTTACAGACAGAGTCTCACTCTGTCGCCCAGGCTGGAGTACAGTGGTGCAATCTCGGTCCACTGCAACCTGCACCTCCCAGGTTCAAGCGATTCTCCTGCCTCAGCCTCCCAAGTAGCTGGAATTACAGGCGGCCGCCACCACACCTGGCTAATATTTGTATTTTTAGTGGAGATGGGTTTCACCATGTTGGCCAGACTCTGGTCTTGAACTCCTGACCTCAGGTGATCCACCTGCCTCGGCCTCCCAAAGTGTTGGGATTACAGGCGTGAGCCACTGTGCTCGGCCATCGGGACATTTTTATCTGCGGTCTGCATGTAAATTTCACGGTCTAAGATCTTATATGGGAAATGATTACATTTTTATCTTCCCTACCTCTAGCTACAGTTTAGCATTGCCTCCAATTATGGATGTAGGCAATGAACTACACTAATAACAGTGCTGGAGACGCTCGTCAATGGACCTGAAATGTGGTCGTACCACATTACACTCGCTGTAGTTCTCCAAGTTATCACTTATGCTCACTTCTGCAATTAGGGTAATTAACTTGCTAGCCACTAGGCTCCTGACATTAAATGCAGGTCTCTGGGACTACTGTGCATATTAACCGCCTGGGCTTGGGAGCGTCTCATTAAGATGCAGATTCTGATTCAGGAGGTCTGTGGTGCAGCCTAGGTTCCTGCATTTTGATCTACCAAGCTCCCGGCTAATGTGGACATTTCTGGTCTTTGTACCAGTTTGGGTAGCAAGGGTTTAAAGTATGAAAATTGCACATTTAACATTGATGAGTATATAATAATATGGTTTTTAAAAATGTGATATATCTTATTAAAGACATCTTTTTGAGAAGAGTCCATCCAAATTGCCAGCAGTGCACAGCAGAACTAAGGTCAAGAATGCCTTCATCTGGCTGTTCTGGACAGAGGCAGATCTACCAACTGGGTCCTGGAGAGAAGACCACAAGGAATGCAGCTGGGGTGACTGTGGGGGACAGCGGCATATACGGAGAAGTCTTCAGTTGTCACTGAGGTTGGCATTGCTATCTCAGCCTAATCTATACCTCCTCCTATGCTCCTAAGGATTGGAGCAGAGAGGGGATTGTGTGCACGTTCCACCAAACTTTCAAGGAAAGGCGTTTCTATAGTCAACTGTTTCAGAGCATAGAGAAAGATTTTGCTTCAGCTCACTTTATAACAGCTATCTGATACCAATGCCAAATGAAGAAATACAAAGTAGGATAAAACTACAAACAGAAATCAATCTTCTTTACGAAGCTAAATAAATGCCACAGGAGCTAGCGAGACAGGGCTCGGGGGAAGGGTGGCTCACGTCTGTAATTCCAGCACTTTGGAAGGCTGAGGCAGGAGGATCACTTGAGGCCAGGAGTTTGAGACCAGCCTTGACAACATAGACCTCATCACTATAAAATAAAATAAAATTAGCTAGGCGTAACGGGGCATGCCTGCAGCCCAGCTACTCGAGAAGCAGAGACATGAAGATCACCTGAACCTGATCGCGCTACTGTGTTCCAGCCTGGGCGACAGAGCAAGACCCTGACTCAAAAAAGTAAATAAATAAATAAATAAAAAGGAAAACGCAATACATTTGAAATGCAACGACTATTCCTAATTAAACACACACCTCAGAAAACCAACCTCAGAAAGCTAGGAATAAACTTGAATGCCATAAGTGATCTCAACCAAAATCCCAGGGCTTCTAACCCTACAAGGATGGTGACATCAAAGCATGCCCACAATGAGGAAATAAGACAGATGGTTTGCGTTGACTGCTACTCTTCAATCTGAACTGAAGCACCAAAGCCAAGGCACACAAAGTCAAGTACAAAGTCGTAAACAGAAAACTTATTTGCATATGTTAATTTACTTAGGCAATCCAAAAGAACCACATGTTAGAATCGCTGCCTCCCACTTACAGCTGGGTCAGAGACACCCTGACCTTTCCCCTCTTCCCTTGGTAACAGAACCTTCTTTGCAGCCGGGCACAGGACCACACAGGAGAAACTTCCTTTTCCCAGCCTTCATTTCCACAGCTGGGGGTGGCCATGTGATTAAGTTCTGGCCAAACAGGCGAGCCCAAGCGATGTGCCTTTAAGGTGGCAGGAGGCCATTGTGGAGCAGGCTAATGAGAGTTGCACCCTTGGGATGACAAAGCAACGCAAGAGCCTGGGTCCCTGAAACCACCAGGCCGGTCCCACACCAGCCTGATCACTTGCACCTGGAACATCACGGGGCAGAAATACTTTGGTTTTAAACCACCATTACGTGAGTCCCAGTAGTCACAAAGGATGCGACTTCTGGGTCATGCGCCAAGGGAGGAATACTGTGAGGCCCCCATACCTCTTCTCCTACTTTCCATTAGTTACATTCAGAGAACTAAAGCAGTCACCTTGGGCCCGGAGAAGTGGCCTAAGTTTGCTTACACTAGGGAGGCGCGTCTGCTTCCCCCACTCAAGAACAAGGCCTTACGTTATATATGTCCTGGATCCCCAGCATGCTCTGCAGTACCTCAAGAAAACATTAATCCAGCTCCTGTACATCTCTTGGGGTCGACCCCAGCCCAGTGAACGTTCCAGGCCTTTAATTCTTGTGAAGGTTATCTTGTGAATTTTAAGATTTTTGGCCTCCACCCATTGAATGGCAGTAGCCTAGCCCCAGTTGAGAACAAGCGCTCAAGTTATTTTCAGGATAGAGTCACCCACTCTGAAATTCCTTAAACTGAGCTGCCTCATCTTTCCTCAAAGGGTTCCGAAACCTGCACGCTTTCACTGACATCGTCATCCTGGTAGTCTGTCTTTCAAGGTGAAGATCAAACATTTCCTTGCTAACACGCTTGTCATGATGCACCGTCCCCAGGCAAAAGTGGCCCTCTATTATAATGCCCTGTATTAAATATTACATAGGGCCTCCATTAAAAGTGACCTTCTATTATAACATTACAATGCCTATCTTTCTGGACAGAGACCGCCATCTTTGTCCAAAAATCTGTCCTCTCAGTGAAGGGGCTCCAGAGGCTCATCTGGGCATGTGTTGCCCCTCCTAAAACCATCCCTCATGTCCCCTTGACGCTCAGTGTGGCCATGACTAAGTCCCGCTCATGTTCCCCTAGGTCACAAGGGCCGCTGCTTCTGAGTCACAGCCTGAGGGAGGCATGCCATGGGCCCCTTGGCCTGCTTCCATTGCCCGCTGGCTAAGAGATGCAGAGAACTACAGCACCTGCCTCAGACCCAGAGGCTAAGCCACGTGTCCAGGATGGCAGAGCCATTGGACCAGCTGTGGACTATGTGTCTCTGAAGCTGTATTCGAGAAATAAACCAGATGACGTTTAAGCCACTGAGAGTGGTTTCTGAAAGAACAAACCAATATCCTCCCCTCAACACACAAGTATAGAATTTGTACTATAGACTAAGGGTTGGCAAAGTGTCTTGTAAAGGACTAGATAATATTTTAGGGAGGACCGGCCTGGTGGCTCATGCCTGTAATCCCAGCACTTTAAGAGACCGAGGCAGGTGGATCACCTGAGGTCAGGAGTTCGAGACCAGCCTGGCCAACATTGCGAAATTCCGTCTCTACTAAAAATAGAAAAATTAGCCAGGCGTGGTGGCAGGCACCTGTAATCCTAGCTATTTCAAAAGGCTGAGGCAGGAGAATCACTTGAACCTGGGAGGCGGGGGTTGCAGTGAGCTGAGATTGTGCCACTGCACTCCAGCCTGGGTGACAGAGTGGGACTCTGTCTCAAAAACAACAACAACAAAAATAGTATTTAAGGCTTTGTGCACCCTACAGTCCCTGCAGCAACTACCCCCTTGTAAAGCCAGAAAGCTGCAAACAATAGGTAAACAAAGGAGCATGCCAACAGGCTGGAGTTGCCCATGGGCTGCAGTTTGTAGACCCCTGGTATAGATCATGGCACTCCTTTGCTTCAGCACATCTTATTTCTCTTCTCAGCAGCTCACTGCCCTAAAAGAAAGCACCTTTAAGAAGCTACCTTATTGCTCTTCTAAGATTACTATAGCCACAGGCCTCTGTGTAGCTCATCCTGGCAACCTCTTCATCTTCATCTCATACCCCTTTGTTCCTTCTCCCAAGCCCACCCTACTAGACTGAGTTTCACGAGGCAGATGAGGCAGAGACCGTCCTGTTCATTACTGTGTCCCTGGTGCTTAATTCACATTCACTTACTATCTTCTTACTGAGCTGTTGAACAGAGTGGATACCTACCCGTATGGATTCTGAGGTGGCGGTCCAAGTCTTTCATGCCATGCACAGTTTTGAAGTGGCAACCTACAAAACAAAAATACAATTTTTTTTTTATTTTGAGATGGAACCGTACTCTGTTGCTCAGGCCAGAGTGCAGTGGCACGATCTCGGTTTACTGCAACCTCCGCCTCCTGGGTTCAAGCAATTCTCCTGCTTCAGCCTCCCGAGTAGCTGGGATTATAGGCACCCGCCTCCACGCCCGGCTCATTTTAGAATTTTTGGTAGAGATGGGGTCTCACCATGTTGGCCAGGCTGGTCTCGAACTCCTGACCTCATGTGATCTGCCTGCCCCAGCCTTCCGAAGTGCTGGAATTATAGGAGTGAGCCACCATGCCTGGCCTGAAAAATACAATTCTTAAAAGAGAACCTCAGTTGAGTGTGGTGGCTCATGCCTGCCATCCCCAAGCTTGGGAGACCAAGGTGGGAGGATCACTGGAGGCCAGAAGTTTGAGACCAGCCTGGGTAACACAGAGAGACCCCCATCCCCTCCTAAAATGCTGGGATTACAGGCATGAGCCACCAGGCCCGTCCTCCCTAAAATAGCACCTAGTCCTTTACAAAACACTTTGCCAACCCTTAGTCTATAGTACAAATCCTATACTTGTGTGTTTGAGGGAGGATATTGGTTTGTTCTTTCAGAAACCACTCTCAGTGGCTTAAACGTAATCTGGTTTATTTCTCGAATACAGCTTCAGAGGCACATAACTTTTAAAACAAAAGCTTAGCCAGACGTGGTGGTGCATACCTGTAGTCCCAACTATTCAGGGGGCCGATGAGGGAAGATCACATACATCCAGTGAGTTGGAGGCCGCAGTGAATTATGATCACAGCACTATACTCCAGCCTTAACAGAGCAAGACCTTGTCTTGGGAGTCTGAGGCAGGAGAATTGACAGAACCCGAGAGGCAAAGGTTA